GCCGTAAGGCTGATGTCGTCTTCTCTCCAGTCATTCCTTTGCTCGGTCAAAGTTCGCGAAAGGACGATCTGACGTGACCCGACATGACATGTCCTCAAATCTTTGCTTAGCGGTAGTTAGATCGAAGATCTGATTTGAATGCGATTCAATGTGAAAAGACTATAGTATGGAGTAGGGCCGAAATGTCGGTCTGTTAAAATTTGGGATTTAATTGCGGCGTCTTATGGTACTTCTATTTTGACGGGAACCACATTGAATGTTACTGATAAGATTCTTTGTTTGTTGACACTATAGATACATCTGTATGGTCCCTACCGGATCTGAGTAGGGGAAGAACCGGTCAGTTCCCCTAAGTCCATATCTCATTAAATATATCCATAAGTGTCTCCCGACAAGAATCAGGCAACTAATAGTGACTATTGCAGTATCGTGACCTTGACCCAGGTCGGCATTTAGGTCGTGGACTCAAAACACCTCATTATAATCTTATCTACCATGTTTGCACTCTTTATCAAACCATGGATTTCGAAATTGTGGATTCACAGAGGACTTTTCAATAGTTATATCAGCAACTTCGTTCAGCTTATCTGAAAACAGCTGAATAGGATCGGTAACATTCCTGAACATCAGTGCAGTACAGAATTCCTGAAATGAAGGTCAGAAGGCCTTAGTAAAATGCCACCTTGATATAGGTGGATCTTCAGATGAATGACTCGCTGCAATGGCCGCTTCTATACAGGCCATAAAACTTCGTTTAATAGACTTGAATATGTCAGTGACAAAATAGGTACCAGTAGCTGAATGTCAGTATGATCTTGATCCATCATTGCAAATGCATAAGTTGTAATCAATGATAAAATCATCAAGCACTTTCACCTTAGGACTAACGTCAACACTTCTCCAAAACAGATTATGGCCATTTAAAATACCTATGGTCATGCAGGTTTTAGGGAGCTGGTCATATAGAGATTAAAGATCCGATTGCTGAAGCACAGAAGAAGCAGGTGTCACATGTAGTATAATGTATATTGTACAAAATGTCCGCCGATGAAGTGTGTCCCTTGTGGCGGGTCGTGTTTGTCCCTTGTGGCGGGTCCAGTGTACAGGAAGAAGGTCGTGTTTGTCCCTTGTGGCGGGTCCAGTGTTTTGGAAGAAGGTCGTGTTTGTCCCTTGTGGCGGGTCCAGTGTGTAGGAAGAAGGTCGTGTTTGTCCCTTGTGGCGGGTCCAGTGTGTAGGAAGAAGGTTGTGTTTGTCCCTTGTGGCGGGTCCAGTGTGTAGGAAGAAGGTCGTGTTTGTCCCTTGTGGCGGGTCAAGTGTGTAGGAAGAAGGTCGTGTTTGTCCCTTGTGGCGGGTCCAGTGTGTAGGAAGAAGGTCGTGTTTGTCCCTTGTGGCGGGTCAAGTGTGTAGGAAGAAGGTCGTGTTTGTCCCTTGTGGCGGGTCCAGTGTGTAGGAAGAAGGTCGTGTTTGTCCCTTGTGGCGGGTCCAATGTGTAGGAAGAAGGTCGTGTTTGTCCCTTGTGGCGGGTCGTGTTTGTCCCTTGTGGAGGGTCCAGTGTGCAGGAAGAAGGTCGTGTTTGTCCCTTGTGGCGGGTCCAGTGTGTAGGAAGAAGGTCGTGTTTGTCCCTTGTGGCGGGTCCAGTGTGTAGGAAGAAGGTCGTGTTTGTCCCTTGTGGCGGGTCAAGTGTGCAGGAAGAAGGTCGTGTTTGTCCCTTGTGGAGGGTCCAGTGTGCAGGAAGAAGGTCGTGTTTGTCCCTTGTGGCGGGTCCAGTGTTTTTTTTGAAGAAGGTTGTGTTTGTCCCTTGTGGCGGGTCCAGTGTGCAGGAAGAAGGTGGTGTTTGTCCCTTGTGGCGGGTCGTGTTTGTCCCTTGTGGCGGGTCCAATGTGCAGGAAGAAGGTCGTGTTTGTCCCTTGTCCTCTTGTCCGTTGTATATCAAATATGGGATTACTTTTAAAAATGTGAAGTTTTTAATTTGACTCAGTATATATACTCATCGATACACCCGAAGCTTCTACACTTCTGATTAATACGAGCGGAAATCCCGATTCATACGCACAACGAGGCAGATGGGAAAGGAGGCACAAGGAGGATGCCTTACTTGTCCAGCCAATGTCCTATTCCCATAGATACTATCTATTAAGGAGTACAGCATTTGTTTCATTAACTTAAGATGACATTTGCTTTCATTTTGACTAAACTGTCACGAAGCTTTGTTATCCCAATTGGGTAGATCGATGCTCATGATGTCAATCACTGGGTTGTCTGGTTCAGACTCAATTATTTACAGACCGCCGTCATATAGCTGGGATATTGCTGAGTGTGGCGTAAAACAAAAAACAAACAAAGAAAAAACAAATAGAATCTAGGGATGTAACTATATCTGTGGCCAATGTGGTTGATCGATACGGTAAAAACACAGTCAATGTGGTTGAGTTCGGAGTCCAGTAACATGTCGTCAATACACAACATCTGAACGAAACAGGCTTCGTTCCGTTGCCATGGTCAGTCAATGGTAGTGGAAAAGAAGGCATGTCGTACTGTTTCCGTATCTACACCTGCACAAATATCTAAACGAAATCGATGTAGAAGTTTAGAAGTTGTCCAGACAAATTGAAATGACGAAGTAATAAAGTGCAATAACATGTGCCCAACTATATCTTGAAGCAGTGAATTGTACAAAGTTTAATTGAAATCAGTCAATTAGTTTAGAAGGAATTGTCAGGAAAGTTATTTTCTACGGACAGACCGACAGACAGGCGGACACGCTGATTCCATTATACCCCCAACTTAATTGCGGGGGCACTGTCAACTACAGTGAATAATCTAATAAAAGGAATTTGACGAGGGTTGACTTCATAAATAGGTATTTATTGACTTTGATGTTTGAGACCTGTAAATTGGAAAACGACGACTGTGAGACCATCATTGATTTCTGAATGAGGTTATTTTACTAGACCTTGTGCTGATCATCCACACCTAGTCTCATAAAGCACTTATCAATTTTGAAAATAGTCTGAAATAGGGTTAATTATCTAAATTTCGACCATGCAGAGAACTCCATTCCATTGCTATTGTAATAAAATATGCTTTGTGTGCAGAAAATATATCTAAATATCTTTTAACAAAATCGAACACAACTTACTTTCGACCAATAGGGTGCCATACATTGCCATGGTGCCATACATTGTCATGATGGTAAGAAAACCTATTCGGTTGAGTCCTGAAAACATCGAACCTCAATACCAAATTTGAACGAAATTTCTGAATATCGATCAGTCAGCTCTGGAGATGCCGCTTTCCGTTGCCATGGAAGCAGGATAGTAACGTAAATAAAGTCATACTGTATAGTGTCACAGATGCACCTTTGTAGCAAGATTGAACACAATAGTGTCACAGACGCACCTTTGTAGCAAGATTGAACACAATAGTGTCACAGTTACACCTTTGTAGCGAGATTGAACACATTAGTGTCACAGATACACCTTTGTAGCAAGATTGAACACAATAGTGTCACAGTTACACCTTTTTAGCAAGATTGAACACAATAGTGTCACAGATGCACCTTTGTAGCAAGATTGAACACAATAGTGTTACAGACGCACCTTTGTAGCAAGATTGAACACAATAGTGTCACAGTTACACCTTTGTAGCAAGATTGAACACAATAGTGTCACAGACGCACCTTTGTAGCAAGATTGAACACAATAGTGTCACAGACGCACCTTCGTAGCAAGATTGAACACAATAGTGTCACAGATACACCTTTGTAGCAAGATTGAACACAATAGTGTCACAGTTACACCTTTGTAGCAAGACTGAACACAATAGTGTCACAGATACACCTTTGTAGCAAGATTGAACACAATAGTGTCACAGTTACACCTTTTATAGCAAGATTGAACACAATAGTGTCACAGATACACCTTTTATAGCAAGATTGAACACAGTCGGCGAAATGACATGTCAGTAATGTCCACTTAAAGAAACCTGTAAAAAACGACCAGGTTGCTGTTGCTGTTGTTGTTGTTGTTGTTGAGAGGTTGTTGGAATATAAAAGGTGCAGTGCACTTATACAAGTTCCATGGCTCTACTATATGTTGTTCCTGAGAAAACACGCAAAATAGAAGGGAGAAGATATTCTATTACGAATATTTCTAAGAAACCAAGCAAAAACAATGTCAAATGTGAAAATAGCAAAAAATAGTACCCTAATTAACAATCACACTTTGTTTATAAGAATCGTGTACAATAAGGGGCGATATGCACGATATTAACCTAGGCCTGCGGGTACTCTCAATGTAAAAACATTTACATTAAGAGTTAACACGTAACCCTTATGCAGGTTTATATCAATTACTTAACAACAGTAGCACAAAAAACAAACATTTTATTTCTTGCAACCCGTGTTTATTTCATGTAAAGATATTGCGACGATCTGCACAAGACTTCACTTATAATTTGCACAACAATGTACGCATACAATGCTTTAATATTTGCAACTATAGACATTTAGAATAGAAAAAATGCGTGTTCTATTTCAGCTGGGTGAACAAGCAGTATGGGTGTACTGGGTGTACTGGGTGTACTGGGTGTACTGGGTGTACTTACTGCATCCTGTCGGGGCGTTGGGGTAGCCTAGTGTTTCAAACGTTCGCTCGCTCGTCTCTGACTACAATGTGTGAAGCCCATTTCTGGTGTCCCCTGTCGTGATAGTACTGGAATATTGCTAAAAGCGGCGTAAAACCATACTCACTCACTCACTCACTCACTTCTGCATCCTTTCCAGCTTCAGATTGCACATGTCTGAAACACTGACGTGATGGGTTGCTGGTGTGACCCGTGTGACCTCCACACGTCGTGGTGCCAGCTGCACGGTGATCATCATCCTGATCATCATCATACGTCACTCACAGCAGTCATGGCGGTGCCCATCAGCTGGATCAGGGAGCTGTCGGACTCGGTGATTACACGGCAGATCTGCAGATAATCAGCACGTGTCATCAGTGAAACGTGGGTTGATCAACACTGGTCATCAGTGTAGCTGGGTATAAAAGATGGGCACTGGACACCCTCGGACATCTTTCCACAGACTACGTAAGTTTTTGCTTTAACATGTCTGGTACTATCTACATATATGTGTGTGTGTGTGTGTGTGTGTGTGTGAGAGTGTGTGTGTGTGTGTGAGTGTGTGTGAGAGAGAGAGAGAGAGTGTGTGTGTGTGTGTGTGTGTGTGTGTGTGTGAGTGACAGGTATGTATGACCTATGTTGTTTATGCATGACATGTGCGTATTGATATAAAATAATATATAAAAAAATACATATAACATCATGTCTCCACACACTTAGGCTTGTTATTTTATTGTGTTTACTCCTTTAGTAACCAGCCACGATGATCGCCGTATGTCTTGTTGCTGTGCTGTGTCTCGCCGGTATGTAACCTAGCAACGATGCCACGTTTACAGAAGCATTTCCCGTTGTCATCTTCCAGTTCAGACCCCATTCGTCGTGATCGTCATGTGTAGATTTCTCTTTGAAGTAAAATTCAGTTGAAGCTATAAATACTGCTAAATGTACGTGACCAACACCTGTCTTTCACAACTACGGAAGATTATTTAATGTACTCCAACTGGACAATCTCTCCTCACAGGTACTGTTTCATTCCTTTGTTCTAATCCCACTAACACGTGTACAGGTGCTGGGCTCGCGGACAACCCCGAGTTGTGTCAACAGGGGATGTGCACCATGGACTACATCCCCCACTGCATGACGGACGGCACCATCGTCTTCGGCTGTGTGGGCCTCAAGAACGCAGTCTGCAAGTACGTGACTGAACGCGTGTGGCACAGCAGCAAACACCAGTCTGCCGTCATGGCCACTTTGTATTACAATTCTAGGCCTGAATGTAGTTCTCTACAGCATCTCAAACCAAACAGTAAGAGTTAGGTTTAAGGCTAGCGTTTCTTGTTGGGAGGCTCCACTATTCCAGTGACACGCTTCACGTTCTTCTTGCAGGGATAAGAAGACAGAACAGACCGGCTGGACGCCATCACAAGCATGTGAGTCACACGTTTATATAAACTGAAGGCGAGTGGGTAACTGTACTTGCTCGTCAGCCTCGATTACCCGCATGGATGAATATAGATGTCCCCCCACGCCCCGCACACACAGACACACATACGCACACACATACACACTACACATATACACACTACATACACACACGCACACACACGCACACACACACACACATATACACAGCGCACACAAACACAGACACACACACATACACAGCGCACACAATCATAGACACATACACATACACAACACGCACACAGACACAAAACACACACAGACACAAACAAACACAGACACACAGACGCACATACACAACACACACAAATACATACACACACAACACACACAAACAGACACACACAGACATAGTACACGCACATACACAACACACACACAGAGACACATACATACATACACACGCACATACACAACACACACAAACACACACAGAGACACATACACACAGACACACACATGCATACACACATACACAAACAAACATATACACACATACACACGCATACGCACATACTCATATACACGGACGCACAGATACATACACGCACATGCACATGAACACACATAGACACACACACATAGGCACACACAAACACACACACACACACACAGAGATACACCCATACACACGCACACACATACATACACACAGACACATACATATACACACAGACACACACACACATACACACATACATACACACAGACACATACACGGACACATACATACACACAGAGACATACATGTACACACGCGCACAGACACGCACATACACAACACACACAAATTCATACACACAACACACACAGACATACTACACACACATACACAACACACACAAACACACAGAGACACATACACACACAGATACGCACGAACATACACAACACACACATACACACAGACACACACATGCATACATACATACATACATACATACATACATACATACATACATACACACATACATATACACACATACACACGCATACACATATACACGCACGCACATATACATATACACGCACATATAGATGCACACACATAGACACACACACATAAGCACACACAGACACACGCATGGACGCCGCAAAACAAAATGCATTTAAATATATATTCACACACGAGAGTACTATGTCAATATGACATTCGGCGTCATCTGTTTTATCTGACTGCCTCTGACGTCCCAGGTCGCCCTTCTGACTACTGCGAGAACTTGGCCTGCACCTATGACCTGATTCCCCACTGCCTCAGTGACGGCTCCATCGCCCGCGGCTGCCACGCCCTCAGACACGCCATCTGCACGTGAGTACATCCAGCGTACCCCAGTCACGTGACTATATGTCATTTTACTTCCCTCCAACACGAGGCTGTGGGCCACTTTACTCGTCCGATACGTGACTATAAGCAACTTTACTCGTCCGATACGTGACTATAAGCCACTTTACTCGTCCCATACGTGACTATATGCCACTTTACTCCCCCCTTCACGTGACTATATATAAACCGAAATATCAAATGAAATTACTTGCACAATTATTTTTGTGTCTGATTCGGTTGGAAGATTGCAAACTCAGCTATGTGTCGTGCAATGATCCCCAAACTCCGATCAAACTGCTGACCAAGTGAAGTCCGATGTTGTTGTGTTGAGACGAGGAGATAATCTACCCGCAAATAACACGTGACACTGGGAAGATGTCCTGGGTTCGGTGTTATCAAACTATATAGATTACTATTTGGGATTAATGTTCTCCACTTTGAATATGTGCAGGATAATTTCAGATCCAGTTATTCGAGAAAAGAAGGTTTTGCTGGGGGTTACAAAAACATATTACAAAAAAACGAGTGCCTTCCGTTTTTTTTCAAAATATTTGATACCCGGATTCAACCTATCCTCCTTTATCGCTCCGAAGTAGGGGTTTTCAGGAATCTAATGAATTAGAGAAGGTGCCGGTTTCAGCCCGTAAGTGTAGGATATTGTCCTCAAAGGCACTATTAGTTTTGCACGTTGGGCTCCTTCGAGGCCGTTAGTCCCACGGGCAAAGCTAAGCGTAACTTAGAGGACCATGTCCATCTTAAGACAAAGTCCTCCCTACATGCACGTGCACAGATACTGGAGGGCGCTCTCGTCACCGAAAACCGATAGGAACCGTACGCGTGAACGCACCAGAGTTCGTCAAAACTATTGGCGGTATTATCGTATAAGAAAGCGAAAACAAGTGCTGCGTTTGTTTTCGACGGCAGTTTCTGGAAGTGACGGCATTGCAGAGTACAACTCTTTCACTGACGTATACTAGCGGGGAAAATTTCTGTGCACCATAAAATATCATATGAAAATAAGATTGCTATAGATTTTTTAATACCATGCAAACACTTTGTTGTGATTACCCATGATGACCCTGAAATTGCACGTGCTTCACGGTCATTGCATGCATAAAATCCCATGAGTTAGAAACTCGTCACACATTCCCTGGACACCTGGTACCGAGTCAGTTCAAACACAGAGTAAATCGTTGAGGTGTTTGACTGTAAAAAGCAACCGAGTCACTCCGGGGTCGGTACCAACAGGCCGATAACACCAGGGACTGCTTACGTTCTGGGCCCACTTGCTCAAAGCGATCTTAGTGCAACGATGATCGTAACTCCCATACTCTAACATAGACTTAAGATAGTCGTAGTGCTAAGATCGCTTTATGCAAGTGGACCCTGGACGTCCACGAGTAACGTCAGGTCGGCCAGATAATCATATGCATCTGGTTCACCTGCGAAATCATTTTCAGACTGCAATGTTTCCAGCCCGAATCATCCTTGGCTTACGTCCGATGAGTGCAAGGACTGTGCGGCGTCGATTACGACAGCATGATGTCCGCCCACGACGTCCTGGTGCACGTCCAGTGTTGCTGCCACATCATGGACTGCGCGCCTGGCATGGTCACGACAACATCTGATTTCGAGTTACAGGAATGGAGGTTATTCCTCTTCACAGAGGAGTCCAGGTTTCATCGTGATAGCAGTGTTGTCCGCCAGCTTGTTTATTGACATCGGATGGAACGTTACCCTGAAGCGTGCGTTGTTCAAAGTTCTGCCTCCTGTGGTGAGAGTGTAATTGTGTGGGCATCACGGCACATCCCAAGACCCCTCTAGTAGCCATCAATGGAAATGTGACAGGTTTACTGCGCCGTAACGAAGTCCCCTGCTCTTGACGTTACCCATGGGTATCGCATCACCTTTACAGCAGGACAACGTTCGCCCTTGCATTGAACGTGTAGTCATTTTCACATTGGACAACAGACAATCACCACGATCCCTTGGGCTGCTGCTCCGCCAGATCTGTCGCGCATCCAACATGTGTTGAATAACATGAAACGTCGTCTACGAAGACTTCCAAACAGAACGGTGACGTTGTTCCAGCAGCGACATGCCTAGGTCCAGATCTGGAACGAAACCCCACAATCATTCCTCAACCATCTTGTGTCATTCAATGACGCGCTGTTGTCAAGCTTGTATCGCTACTAATGGTGACACTGACTTGTGAACTATATAATCTTTTCTTCTTACTGGTGAGTGAGCGATTGCGTTTCTGCATACGTTTCCCAAGGATCATAAACACGTCTAACCATCAACTATGGACGGGTAAACACGGTCTGGAAACTATTGGAGTGTTTCTGTAGTTCACACACTCCTTCCTTATTATTCAATCACAGGAAAGAATGCTCCAGCATTGACGTCAAATCACTTGGTAGAGTTGACGCTTTACTTCAGTCAATCAGTCTGTCTGTCACTCAGTCTGTCAATCAGTCTGTCAATCTGACAAGCTGTCAATCTGTCAATCTCTCTGTTGCAGGAAGAACCTGACCGAGCAGATGTCCTGGAGCCCCCTTACATCCTGTGAGTTGGCAGCGTGCATGGGTGGGGCGAGTTGTGTATGGGTTGGGGTAAGTCGTGTATGGGTGGGGTAAGTCGTGTATGGGTGGGGTAAGTCGTGTATGGGTGGGGCGAGTTGTGTATGGGTGGGGCAAGTCGTGTATGGGTGGGGCGAGTTGTTGGTGGTTGGGGTAAGTCGCGTGTGTGTGTTGGGGGGGGGGGGGGGGGGGGGGGGCAAGTCCAGTATGAGTGGGGCGAGATGTGGGTGGTTGGGGTAAGTCGTGTGTGGGTGGGGCAAGTCGTGTATAGGTGGGGCGAGTTGTGTGTGTGTGTGGGGGGGGGGGGGGGGGAGGGGGGGGGGGGAGATGGAGATGTACAGGATAGTTACAGCCTTGTATGAGGTCGACACCAGGGATAACGCACAATCTGACGAGGCATTACTTTGGGTTACCTGACTGGATAGATTTACTATCATCACCAATATTACTGTAGTAGCTCGTTACCATGATAACGTGTGTTTCCAGGTCTTCCTGACGGGTACTGTGAGAGTGATGTGTGCACCGCCGACCTGATCCCCCACTGCATGAACAACGGCGACATCGTGCACGGCTGTAGCCATCTCAAGAAGGCGGTCTGCCAGTGAGTCACAGGGGGTCACGGGCTTCTAGCACTCCGACAAACTCCCCCGAATATGTGTTGGAAAAAGTCATATAGATCGTCTTAAGAACGTTTCATAATCATACTGTCACTTACACATAAAGATTCCCATGTGCCTGAATCTTGCTTTCCGTTGTAGAGGTTCGTGGTTTTAACAGATGCATCTAATATAACTGACTTCTCTGTCAGACGAGGGTTTAGGGGTTTACTTGTGTTTCATAGGGTTTTATGTCTTTCCGTACAGGGACGGGATGGTGGAGAACAGGCTGTGGGAGTCAACCCAGCGGTGTAAGTATCTGGATGAATACAACATCCCCATCATTGAACCTCCATCACACCACTCCATCACACCATCCCCATCACACCACTCCATCACACCATCCCCAACACACCACCCCTATCACACCATCCCCAACACACCACCCCCATCACACCATCCCCATGACATCACCCCCATCACACCACCCCCATAACACCACCCCCATCACACCACCCCCATCACACCACTCCATCACACCACCCCATAACACCACCCCAATCACACCACCGCCATAACACCACCCCATAACACCTCTCAATCACACTACCCCCATCACTCCACTCCATCAGGTTACCCCAACACATCACTCCATCACACCATTCCCCACCACACCATTCCCATCAAACCACCCCAATCACACCATCCCATTAACCCCCCCCCCCCCTTCAAACCCCCCCATCACCCCCCCCACACCACCCCCATCACACCACCCCCATAACACCACCCCCATAACACCACTCCATCACACCACCCCCATAACACCACCCCCATAACACCTACCCCATAACACCCCTCAATCACACCACCCCCATCACACCACCCTCATAACACCACTCCATCACACCACCCATCACACCATCCCCACCACACCACCCCATCACTCCACCCCCTGACGCCACCCTAAACACACCATCCCCATCACACCACCCCCATCACGGCCCCACCACACCACCCCATCACACCACCCCCATCACACCATCCCCATAACACAACCCCCATAACACCACACCATCACACCACCCCCATCACACCACCCCCATAACACAACCCCCATAACACCACACCATCACACCACCCCCATCACACCACACCATCACACCACCCCAATCACACCACTCCCATCACACCACCCCCATAACACCACCCTCATCACACCACCCCGATCACACAACCCCCATCACACAATCCCATTACAATGGCCCCACAACACTATCCCCATCACACCCCTCCATCACATAACTCCATCACACCATCCCCATCATACCATCCCTATCACACCACCCCCATCACACCACCCCATCACTCCACCCCCATGACGCCACCCCAAACACACCATCCCCATCACACCACCCCCATCACGGCCCCACCACACCACCCCATCACACCACCCCCATCACACCATCCCCATAACACAACCCCATCACACCACCCCATCACACCCCTCCATCACATAACTCCATCACACCATCCCCATCATACCATCCCTATCACACCACCCCCATCACACCATCCCATTACACCACCCCAACGTACCACCCCATCACACACATCCCATCACACCACCCCCATCACACCACTCCCATCACACCGACCCAATCACACCATTCCCCACCATTCCCATCACACCACCCCATCACATGACTTCATCACACCATCCCCATCACAACAGCCCATAACACCCCAATCATCCAATAACATGAGGCCGCCATTGTTCCCAGGCCTGCCGCTGTTCTACTGCCAGTCAAAGGCGTGCACCAAGGACATGATAGAACACTGCATGACTGACGGCACCGTGGTGACGGGGTGCGACGCCCTCAAGATGGCCATCTGCAAGTAGGTGCTTGATGATCCGTCCGCTAAATTGTTTGTCTGCATCTATTTCCATGCAATGTCACTGAAACCAGTAACGTGTTGAATACCGGAAACAGTAACGTGTTGAATACCGGAAACAGTAACGTTTTGAATACTGGAACCAGAAACGTGTTGAATACTGGAAACAGTAACGTGTTGAATACTGGAACCAGTAACGTGTTGAATACTGGAACCAGCAACGTGTTGAATACTGGAACCAGCAACGTGTAGAATACTGGAAACCGTAAGGTGTTGAATACTGGAACCAGCAACGTGTTGAATACTGGAACCAGCAACGTGTTGAATACTGGAACCAGTAACGTGTTGAGTACTGGAACCAGTAACGTGTTGAATACTGGAACCAGCAACGTGTTGAATACTGGAACCAGCAACGTGTTGAATACTGGAACCAGCAACGTGTTAAATACCGGAAACAGTAACGTGTTGAATACTGGAACCAGTAACGTGTTAAATACTGGAGCCAGTAACGTGTTGAATACTGGAACCAGCAACGTGTTGAATACTGGAGCCAGTAACCTGTTGAATACTGGAACCAGCAACGTGTTGAATACTGGAACCAGCAACGTGTTGAATACTGGAACCAGCAACGTGTTAAATACCGGAGCCAGTAACGTGTTGAATACTGGAACCAGTAACGTGTTAAATACTGGAGCCAGTAACGTGTTGAATACTGGAACCAGCAACGAGTTGAATACTGGAGCCAGTAACGTGTTGAATACTGGAAACAGTAACGTGTTGAATACTGGAACCAGCAACGTGTTGAATACTGGAACCAGCAACGTGTTGAATACTGGAACCAGCAACGTGTAGAATACTGGAAACAGTAAGGTGTTGAATACTGGAACCAGCAACGTGTTGAATACTGGAACCAGCAACGTGTTGAATACTGGAACCAGCAACGTGTTGAATACTGGAACCAGTAACGTGTTGAATACTGGAAACAGTAACGGGTTGAATACTGGAACCAGTAACGTATTGAATACTGGAAACAGTAACGTGTTGAGTACTGGAACCAGTAACGTGTTGAATACTGGAACCAGCAACGTGTTGAATACTGGAACCAGCAACGTGTTGAATACTGGAACCAGCAACGTGTTAAATACCGGAAACAGTAACGTGTTGAATACTGGAACCAGTAACATGTTAAATACTGGAGCCAGTAACGTGTTGAATACTGGAACCAGCAACATGTTGAATACTGGAGCCAGTAACGTGTTGAATACTGGAACCAGCAACGTGTTGAATACTGGAACCAGCAACGTGTTAAATACCGGAGCCAGTAACGTGTTGAATACTGGAACCAGTAACGTGTTAAATACTGGAGCCAGTAACGTGTTGAATACTGGAACCAGCAACGAGTTGAATACTGGAGCCAGTAACGTGTTGAATACTGGAAACAGTAACGTGTTGAATACTGGAACCACTAACGTGTTGAATACTGGAGCCAGTAACGTGTTGAATACTGGAGCCAGTAACGTGTTGAATACTGGAGCCAGTAACGTGTTGAATACTGGAGCCAGTAACGTGTTGAATACTGGAACCAGTAACGTGTTGAATACTGGAGCCAGTAACGTGTTGAATACTGGAAACAGTAACGTGTTGAATACTGGAACCACTAACGTGTTGAATACTGGAGCCAGTAACGTGTTGAATACTGGAGCCAGTAACGTGTTGAATACTGGAGCCAGTAACGTGTTGAATACTGGAACCAGTAACGTGTTGAATACTGGAGCCAGTAACGTGTTGAATACTGGAACCAGTAACGTGTTGAATACTGGAGCCAGTAACGTGTTGAATACTGGAACCAGCAACGTGTTGTATAATGTCACGACATGGTATTGTGTCGCGTGTTCTGTGTTGACGTTTTCTCAGTTACATCACGGTAGTTTAGAGCTGGCTCGTCTGTTTCAGTGACAACAAGTCCGAGAACAAAGAGTGGGAGTCCGATGCCCCTTGTGACCCTCAGGGACAGGAGTAGCAGGGCCAGGAGTAGCAGGGACGGGAGTAGCAGGGACAGGAGTAGCAGGGACAGGAGTAGCAGGGACAGGAGTAGCAGGGACAGGAGTAGCAGGGCCAGGAGTAGCAGGGCCAGGAGTAGCAGGGCCAGGAGTAGCAGGGCCAGGAGTAGCAGGGACAGGAGTAGCAGGGACGGGAGTAGCAGGGCCAGGAGTAGCAGGGCCAGGAGTAGCAGGGCCAGGAGTAGCAGGGACAGGAGTAGCAGGGACAGGAGTAGCAGGGACGGGAGTAGCAGGGCCAGGAGTAGCAGGGACAGGAGTAGCAGGGCCAGGAGTAGCAGGGCCAGGAGTAGCAGGGCCAGGAGTAGCAGGGCCAGGAGTAGCAGGGACGGGAGTAGCAGGGACAGGAGTAGCAGGGACAGGAGTAGCAGGGACAGGAGTAGCAGGGCCAGGAGTAGCAGGGACAGGAGTAGCAGGGCCAGGAGTAGCAGGGCCAGGAGTAGCAGGGACAGGAGTAGCAGGGCCAGGAGTAGCAGGGACAGGAGTAGCAGGGACAGGAGTAGCAGGGACCCGACGGAGTGGCAACCGCAGTCTCTACTCGTCCTCGTGTAACCAGGCGAATAAACAACAATAACACCAGGGACGAGTTTATTATGTGTACATGTACTGATCGCGTCAGTGGATATATATATATATATACAGACAGGCAGACAGTTTTATTCCGTGAAAAGCCTCCGGCCCCAAAGACATACACAAACAGGATCAATTATGCGCATTCTGTATTAGATTTACAACTTGCTGTTTCTTGTTTTATTTACAGGATATAGAAAAAGGCAGACATATTTGATGATATATGCCAACATAGTAACAATGGTAGATATTAATGAATTTGACAACAAAGGTATAGAAGGCAATATTATGGATAATAAGTGTCAGAATTTCTTAATAATAGTTTTTCACACAATTTCATAGGAGTTCTACTTTAAAAATAACATGGAATTCAACCTCAGTCTAAACTATTTGTATTTGTTTAGTTTGCCCATGTTGCCAGCGACCTTGTTTATTTTTTAATTCATGTAAAAAATACTCCTTGTCATTAAGACGGCTTTGAGTTTATTCAACATACGGTCAGGCCTCGATATGGATTAGTTATCGGGAGCTAGCCTTGAAACAAGAGATGAGAGAGCGGGGACTCCCTTGTGTTATTCAAGCACGTTCGACTGAAGGCCACCGTGAGGCCGACCTCACAGTTCAGGTCGTGTAACTTTATCAATTTCCCTGATTTCCAAATATGTATCTGCCTTATGCTGATAAAGTCGACTTCCCGAATGTCGGTGGTAAGAAAAAGCTCTCAGTGTTGCCTGAGTTGAGTTGATTTTCATTGTAATTTAGCCGATAGTCACACATGAGCCAGTTGGTTCGAAAATACTTATCAGCGCTTGACCATTGCATTTACGAGAGAAGAAAGGCCGTGTTTTGTGGACCTACACTAAATGCGCGCTGACCCTTATCAATGATTACGCAATTTTATTTTATGTTTTTTCTGCGTACGTACAGCTGCACTTGTCCAGTGGCGAGAGTGATACTAGTATATAGATTGTGCCCAGCAAGGTGCAGATATAAAGATTTCCTTTGCTGAGGTCACTGTGTAATGTGTTCACTGTAACGTCGCCTATACTGGACGAGGGAGGGGCTTGAAGTTAGCAGCAGGTTCGTTATTCAAAGGCTGTATATTAAACTACAGTACTGTGGACAAATACACTGAAACTCATTTAAAATATGACAGCAGGTTCGTCTTACATCATCATCCAAAAGCTGTTTAGTTATTCAGTACTTTCGAATAACGAAAAATAAACCAGCACCGGGTTCGTTATTCAGACTTGGTATAACAAATATAAGGTACCGTATTTCCAGTGGGTTCGTTATTCGTCATTCGTTGTTGTTTTTTAATAACGAAAAACAAGCCAGCACCGGTTCGTTATTGAAAGGCTGTATATTAAACAACTCCAGTAATGTGGTCAGATTCCGGGTTCGTTATTCAGTTTATGTCCAACAATTCTATTAAATAGAAGATAGTCTATGGTCTATCTCCCAACGACTGTTAAGCTATTCAATACTTTTGAATAAGGAAAACTAACCAGCACCGGGTTCGTTATTCAGTTCATGTCCAAGAAAATATATAAATAAATGGAATAAGGAATCTGCTACTGTTTTTATTTAAGTACTTATTTACAATAATGACTTAAATTGTGGGAAAACCTTTGCAGAAGTAGCCCTCATTAAATATTGACTGTATTTTAGGACAAATTAACAAATATAGGAAAATGTAATTGTATAATGAGTGTGGCCTCTGCTCTGGACCCTGCCACTGTATCGCTTTCTTCAACCACAACACCTATATCCGTTCCCACAGAAAAAAACGTTTCTGGTCAGTGTCCATCATCACCCACTATAGAACAGAGTCTTACAATGTATCTATGTTTTCATGAATTACATGACTGGTCAGTAAATGGTGATGACATATCACACTGCAGTAAGATGTCTTACTCCTCTCCGAATGTCTGAAACTATGACATTAGATTTGTTTCGGTTTGTAACTTTGATCGTTGACAACGACCTGGAATGGATCCCATGATTGTATTCATCATATAGGTGACATGTTAACCTCACTTTTGTTTGCACAGTTCTAGACAACAACTTGCATAGTGCAGTGAACTTAGATTATATATAGTTCAGTAGGGTTCAACACTTCAGTAAACATAAGTGTACATTGTCTGTATAGATACATTGTCATTTAGTACCATAGCAGTCAGATGGATCAGTTTTGCATTGTGACGTATAGAACCTTCTCTCCAAAGCAAATTTACCTCTAGAATGAACATAACTGCTATCTGACGAAAGAGTTTTTTATAGAAAATACTGTCTGGGTAACTCACTACATTTAACTGTAATGAAAGTTATCATACAAGAGTTTAAGTGGTATTGTAACCCTTTCCTACAAATAAAGTGAATACAGTTTGATCTATCCTCTTTTAGTTCGTTATTATTCATCCATAAACTGCCGGAAAGAATCCGACTGAATAGTGTTTTGACAAAAGATGAGTGGTGCTGTTTAGATTCCAGTTGCTGGACAGTACTTAGTAACTAAAAACTGCTTGAACATAAATTAGACTACCTCACATTTGTCAATTTGTTGGACTGAAAATTAAAATGCTGCAGTTTAGTTTTTCGTTATTCAAAAGTACTGAAAAACTAAACAGCTTTTGGACGATGTTAGACGAATCTGCTGTCATATATTAAATGAGTTTCAGTGTATTTGACCACATTACTGCAGTTTAATATACAGCCTTTCAATAACGAACCCGGCGCTGGCTTGTTTTTCGTTATTCGAAAAACGAATAACGAATAACGAACCCACTGGAAATACGGTATCTTATATTTGTAAAACCAAGTCTGAATAACGAACCCGGTGCTGGTTGGTTTTTCGTTATTCCAAAGTACTGAATAACTAAACAGCTTTTGGATGAAGATGTAAGACGAACCTGCTGTTATATATTAAATGAGTTTCAGTGTATTTGACCACATTACTGTAGTTGTTTAATATACAACCTTTGAATAACGAACCCGGTGCTGGCTTGTTTTTCGTTATTCGAAAAACGAATAACCAATAACGAACCCGCTGCTAACTTCAGGCCCCTGGACGAAGGTGGCTCTGTCGGACGATGGAAGACCAAACTAAGGGGTGAAGTTATAGACACCAGCATCCATGTTTATTAAAGACGGGTGAATACGGTCGATAAGGTTAAGGCTGATAATCACGTGACAACATGCACGTCGGGACCCGGTGGCCAATGTTCCCGGAAGATCTGACACTGGTTTGAAATGAGCTATTAAATTTACTATTCAATTAAAAGCTCATAATTTTTCAGATCCGTGCTGTGGGAAGGTGGACATTGAGACCATCACAACTGTGGTCCTCTGCTAACAGTAAACGTTCTAGTCACTGGGCTAAACGCAAATTTACAATTGCGACCTCATGTACATTAGATTCTATTTAAGAGAAGTCTCTTCTTTTGATGATGTTGTTGCTGTATAACCGAGCTCCACTTCATGAAGGGTCTTGATCAACCCTGTTAAATATGAATACATTGAAATTAGTAAAAATATATTTTACCCCTCACTGAATATCGTCTCTGGCGCAACTCAAATGCTACATTGATATGACTTTTCTTATCTCTGCAGTAATTGATGGGCGTTCCCCAGAAACAAATGGCATAAAATGGTACAGGCTATGATATCTATTGGGAATACCTTGTCATTCATGTTCTCCTTGTCAATGGAAAATGAAGGGACTACAAAATTAATTGATATGATGAACCTCTTGTAATTATTTAGAAATAATGCATCTTTTAAAATGTTTTACATTTTATTCATTGCTACCAAACAACATAAGCACATAATGACATTATCTCCCATGAGAAATATCATGACATTGAACTCAACGTAAACCTGAACAGAAATATGAAAATCCTGAAAACAAATATATTTTTATCAATTGTACTTTGACATTCGTCAATCACGATGAACTGAAAGCTGTATGAATACTTTCACTGGAGAGTCTGGTGAAGCTAAGCGGTGTTTCCTCAAAGTGTGTAAAACCTATCTGTCGCCTTGTCGTCAGCTGTTTTCCTCACATCAAGGGCACATAACTCTAAATCGCTGACACACCCCTGTTTAAGGTCCGATTTATGTAGGCCATTCAAGTTATCAAATACAAAGAAATGTGTTTTCAAGTAAACAAATGATTATGTTATGCGTATTTCACATACATGAAAACAATTATTAGCTTTTGCCATACGTTTGAAAATGAGCAAATTTCAACTTACCATCGACAAGAAGGTCAAGTTGACATACCATGCTTGTTGTGGGACTACGCTTGTTCACGGGTCTTGTCGGTTCTAAAATGTAGCCAGTTGTCTTGGCACGTACTCCGTTGGTAGGTGGTTAGAACTACCCGGAGTTTCCCTGTGTCCCTCGACGAAATGCCTAATGCACACTAGAGAATTCTGTGACGTAAGAGCACTCGCTACCATCGGTTGATAGCTTATTAAAAACCACTTCGTCGGCATTCAGGTTTCTTTGAAAGGAAATATGTATCCTGTGGCCGTCACTTGCGTGGAAGAAAACAGAACATACACACAACACCATACTCCCGTGGTGACCCACATGATAACACGTTTCAAGTTGACGGCGCCGTCCACCTGTACAAGCGATGGTACACGAGGGTTGGCATTTGGTCAGAGCCTTCCTCTGGGAATAAATCACTCACGAATATAGTCTATACCACAAATTATACATTCAGTGTCGACCATTGATATATCAACAGTTGTACATTCAGTGTCAATAACAGCAGTCGTATGATGATTTATTACAGTGAACACGAAATTAAGAATACAGACATGAAACGAATAAAAGAATATTTTATCTGGCGACAAGATGACCTGATACAGCGAGATACCATGACGTCTAATACTTCCCTAGAATCACGGTGCCGTTAATTAACACTGCTCCTGACAGTATATTGGATGGAACAGTCGGCACCTGGTTGGGCTGCTGGCCACCGACAAATATCTCCAGGTAACCTGCAACAACCAACAGAGACAGGGTTGCATGGCGACCTGTACATACACAGAATGTGTGGTGGTTGTATGGCGGCCTGTACATATACAGAATGTGTGATGATTGCATGGCGGCCTGTACATACACAGAATGTGTGAGGGTGGCATGGCAGCCTGTACATACACAGAATGTGTGAGGGTTGCATGGCGGCCTGTACATACACAGAATGTGTGATGGTTGCATGGCAGCCTGTACATACACAGAATGTGTGAGGGTGGCATGGCGGCCTGTACATATACAGAATGTATGATGGTTACTGAACAATCTTGAGCTATCCGGAAGTAACTCGAAGGACACAACACCACCAAGACCACTCTGAGCCTTGAACCCCACTAGAACCCCACTTGATCCATGCTCAATCACCTTGATCCACCTTGATCTACCTTGATTCACCTTGTTCACCTTGATCCACCTTGATGCGCCCCTTATGCCCTGGTTTAAGAGGACACAGACAGGACTGACTTTTTCTTCATACAACTTACCGTCCTCGACTATCCAGCCGTAGTAGTCGTCCCAGATCGCCATATTCTGGGCTGTTATGGTCAGGTTGACGGTCAGCTCCTGTTTGACCGCTAAGGACACTCTCTTGAAGTCCACCAACTGAATCTTTGGGGTGGGGACGGACGGACTCTTCCATCGCACGTACAGCTGCACTACCTGTGGAGTGGAGCAAGTGTGTCAGTTCGTTTCTAAGTAAGCATACACTCGTATATGCTGTGCTTCCACTCGTAATAAACATTTAATGAATGACTGCATCATGTAACTTGAGACTGAATTACTGTTCTGCATATCTGAATGTTGTTGGCATCCACATGTTGAAAGAAACAAAAACAGCATGGATCACGTCATGGGAAAACGAGTACAATGCCTTCGTGACACACATGGCAAAGTGAATTTCGGAAATGATAGATACCCAACCCCTTTTTTACCCTACCCTACCCGGGTACCCGCTTTCGGTTTCAAGAGATGGGTTCAAAATGTCCGATTGGGACTAGTTGACCGTAACCCGAGCAAAATGCACTTAGATACACATATAGAACGATCTGGTCGACAGGACACGAACCTCGTCAGCGGCATAAGGCCCGTTGTTGACGACCACTGTGGTTACATTGGCGCTCTGTGCTCCCTCCACCATTCCCGAATACGTCACTTCCTTGTAGAAGAACGTGGAGTATGAAAGGCCATATCCGAAGGGGTAGAGTACTTCTGTGTTGAAGTAGCGGTAGGTGCGGCCGTCCATGGAGTAGTTCACCATCTCGGGGAACTAGACACATTAAAACGTCTTAGCTATAGTAGTGGTTACCCCTCTTTCAGGTCATATATTTAACTAATCACTAGGATGTAGGATATTACATAGAGAATCTCACCAGAGTGTCTTTTGATATCAAATATATCAACACGAGTTGATAAAAATAGGAAAACACCGAGGCTTGCCGAGGATTTTTTCCACATTTATCAACGAGTGTTGATATATTTGATATCAAAAGACACGAGCGTGAAATTTTATTTATCATCCAACATCATTCTTCCAACTTTTTCAGTTTGTAGACAGTACTAAGCAGTGTATTAAGTGTAAACAGTACTGCTAACAGCTTCAATAGCAGAGTCATTAGTGATGTCATTTGATTGTGACGTCATGTAACAATGACGTCACAATGGTCTGCAAACCATTGTGATGCCATTTCATTGCAGCGATATCTCCTGTGGGAGCCAGTTTGGGATGATAAATAGAGAATACTACACTCATTCTCGTTAGATACCATTTTTACGAAACGAGTTGACTTTCTATGGTATCTGACCGAGCGAAAGCGAGGTCAGATACCTTAGAAAGTTCACGAGTTACGTAAAAATGGTATCTAACGAGAATGAGTGTGGTATTTTATTTATTACCCACGTTAAATATATATTTAAGTGTAAATACATAACAACTTTCGTTCGTTGACAGACCAAACTGAAACCGGTTGCAAAATCTGGTTGCGCATGAATATTGATATATGACCAAATATGGGCATTGTTGACATGTTTATGCATACGCATTAACAACATGCGCCTGCTGTTCTGTTTGCAAACAAACCAGCACCGACGCTCAAGATCCTTTTGGAAGAAAGTCTTCAACTTATGGTAATTCAAGCGTCATGTTGTTAGTACGCAGGACACCGATAAGAAAATTTGAAATGTCACATTAGCGCCGCGCTTTGAATATCGGACCAACAGTCACACGCACCACACTGCCGGGGTCCCGTCTGTGCAATCAAAATGGTTCGGTTTCCTTGATCTATCAGCTGAATTTATATCGTGTCCGTACCATTTTGGAAGAGGGAAATCAGACTGTTCGCCAAAGACATTCATGTTAACTGTACCACCCTATATACTGAAGACGTGAAAATCAACAAACTCAAATCTGGGGCGCGTTGCAAGCCACGAATCGCTCAGAGAAAGCAAATTAATCGCTCATCCTGATGTCTGCAACAGTTCGAAGCGCTTGCCAACTCTTCCAAAATGGCGGCGCAACTAGCGTTTGGTTGCCTTGACGTAATGAAGAACGTAATAGAAGAGGCTCGATGACGAGCTGATCGAATCTATGACTACTTTGAAGATGTACAGCAGGCTGAGGATGATGGGGTCTTCGTTGCCTTTGCTGATTTCCTCGTTGATCCACTCAAGAATTTCTTGTTCCGCTGTCAAAGTAAGGCGCCATTTTGGTTTGAGAACGAAGCGACCCCAGCCAGCGATTGTTTCGCTTGCAAGCGGCTGAAAGTTAGCGCACTGTTGTAAGGCGAATCGCTGTACATCGCTTGCAAGCGATTGGTGCTTTGCAACGCAACCCTGCTTGCATGTCAGTGACAGCTTCGAACGATCGAAGGGCAAGGTCGCCACCAGAATAAGAAAAGACAACCGCGATCCACTCACAGCGTTTTACGCTAGAGATAGGGAATGTTACTGTTCACATTTGGGATGATTGGGGCCACAAAATAGGAAGTCAAGCACACTTCCACGGAGTTTTCGAAAGATTTGTATCGGAACTGTGAACTTTAAGTGATCTGGTCGTGCTGTCGTGTTCGTTCATTCATGAACAACACCTCCCGAAACAGCGCCACAAAATACGCTTCAAGGGGGACACCGATGGCACAACCGGATCATCCCAAGTAAGTCTAGATATCTGTCCAGATAGTTTAAACAGACTTCATTTCACCACGCCTATCCTTTTACGTTAAATCAAATTGAAAGTTGCGAAAATGGTCGGGTGCGTCACGCTCAAGGGACGCGCTCGATCGGCAGTCGTACATTGTAAATCGATTTATAGATCTAGCTCGATTATATGTCTGTAGGACCTCTATGCATAACTTATATAGAATGCAAACCGAATTTGATGCGTGTGACTATCTTGTTTGGTTTAATAAAGTGTTTGTACATATCTCTCGTTCTCATGAATTTCTTCAGTTCTGCCTTGTAATCGCAAAATGAATGACGTCTCGCGATTTTTTATGAATGAAAAAAGTAGTCCCGGTGTGAAAGAGGTCACGGTTATCCAATCAAAACGAATAAAACAAGGTCAACCTTGTACGACACACGTGTGACGTACGGATTTAGTATCTTACCACCTGTATCTTCACCACGTGGGTAATAAAACACAATACCACACTACCTAAGAGATTCAAGCCTCCACTGGCTTGGGCGTGATTTGAACATGTCACACGGCACCTCCGGGCAGAGACATGGGTCATGTATAGGGCAGTCTTCCTGTAGGGACATTTCACCTACCCCATCCAGACACCTGGGCCATGTATAGGGCAATCTTCCTGTAGGGACATTTCTCCCTACCCCATCAAGAGACCTGTGTCATGTATGGGCAGTCTTCCTATAGGGACATTTTACCTACCCCATCCAGACACCTTGGTCATGTATAGGGCAGTCCTCCTATAGGGACATTTCACCTACCCCATCCAGACACCTGGGTCATGTATAGGGCAGTCTTCCTATAGGGACATTTTACCTACCCCATCCAGACACCTGGGTCATGTATAGGGCAGTCTTCCTTTAGGGACATTTTACCTACCCCATCGAGAGACCTTGGTCATGTATAGGGCAGTCTACTATAGGGACATTTCACCTACCCCACCCCGACACCATGGCGATGTATAGGGCAATCTTCCTGTAGGGACATTTCTCCCTACCCCATCAAGAGACCTGGGTCATGTATGGGCAGTCTTCCTATAGGGACATTTTACCTACCCCATCCAGACACCTTGGTCATGTATAGGGCAGTCCTCCTATAGGGACATTTCACCTTCCCCATCCAGACACCTGGGTCATGTATAGGGCAGTCTTCCTATAGGGACATTTTACCTACCACATCCAGAGAGCTAGGTCATGTAGGGCAGTCTTCCTATAGGGACATTTCACCTACCCCATCCAGACACCTGGGTAATGTATAGGGCAGTCTTCCTGTAGGGACATTTCACCTACCACATCCAGACACCTGGGCCATGTGTAGGGAAGTCTTCCTATAGGGACATTTCACCTACCCCATCCAGACACCTGGGTCATGTGTAGGGCAGTCTTCCTATAGGGACATTTCACCTACCCCATCCAGACACCTGGGTCATGTATAGGGCAGTCTTCCTTAGGGACATTTCACCTACCCCATCCAGACACCTGGGCCATGTATAGGGTATGTTTCCTGTAAGGACATTTCTCCCTACCCCATCAAGAGACCTGGGTCATGTATAGGGCAGTCTTTCTATAGGGACATTTCACCTACCACATCCAGAGAGCTAGGTCATGTATAGGGCAGTCTTCCTATGGGGACATTTCACCTACCCCATCCAGAGACCTGGGCCATGTGTAGGGAAGTCTTCCGGCGGGGACATTGTTTCCCCCATCGTTGGTGAGGACCCTCCTGAGCGCCTCCCCCGTGGCCTGGGCAGGGTAGAACACCTCCATGATGGACACGATGCGAGGGTTCCCGACAGCAAAGGTCATATTGAGAGGACCAGCGTTAAATAGCAGTAGAACTATAGGGACATTCCCACCTGAAAGCATTTAAATGTTAAGCTGAAACCTCAGTTGTTCAATGGCAGAGTTCTCTGAGGGGCAGTCAACAGGACTTTCTCCCGAGTATTGGTCAACATGATGTAAAACTATGATGTTCATTAACATTGATTACTTATTTTTAATGGCAGAAACGTGGCTTCTGTTGTCCCTGTGTAACCTATGTATGGTTATATGCATCATAGCTATGATTGTGTTGGAGCTTTGTGTCGACGTCCATTGGTTGTTTCAACACATTGTCTGGAATGTACTCTCCGAACAGTACAGTTTAGCATTAAATCACGTGGTATGTGATGTGGTATACTATCGGGTGGTATGTACTCACTGTACAGTATACCATGATATCACATGATACGTACAAACGGTAGAGAATGACGTGCTATCGGGTGGTATGTACTCACTGTACAGTATTCCATGATATCACATGATACGTACAAACGGTAGAGAATGGCGTGCTATCGGGTGGTATGTACTTACTGTACAGTATACCATGATATCACATGATACGTACAAACGGTAGAGAATGACGTGCTAATACGTAATATACATTTTCTGTACAGTATACCATGATATCACATGATACGTACAAACGGTAGAGAATGACGTGCTAATACGTAATATACATTTTCTGTACAGTATACCATGATATTACATGATACGTACAAACGGTAGAGAATGACGTACTATCGAGTGGTATATTTTTACTGTACATTATACCATGATATCACATGATACATACAAACGGTAGAGAATGACGTACTATCGAGTGGTATATTTTTACTGTACATTATACCATGATATCACATGATACATACAAACGGGAGAGAATGACGTGCTAATACGTAATATATATTTACCTTCAGTATACCATGATATCACATGATACACGGTAGAGAATGACGTACTATCGAGTGGTATATACTTACTGTACATTATACCATGATATCACATGATACATACAAACGGTAGAGAATGACGTGCTATCATGTGGTATATACTTACTGTACAGTATACCATGATATCACACGATACACGGTAGAGAATGACGTACTATCGAGTGGTATATTTACTGTACAGTATACCATGATATCACATGATACACGATAGAGAAGGACATGTTATCACGTGGTATGTACTTACTGTACAGTATACTATGATATCACACGATACACGATAGAGAAGGACATGTTATCACGTGGTATGTACGTACTGTACTGGACGGCATCTTTTAGGAGCTGCACTTGTCCGGCTGGCAGCTCGATGTCCGGTTTGTCGTGTCCTTCTTTCTCGATTCTGGCTCCTGGAGAAAATATACATGTCATACACAGAGAGAGCAGTGGGTATGCTATCCTAGTTACAACACTGAGGTGATATCACTACACCAGCATGTGGGTATGTTACCCTAGTTACAACATTGAGGTTGTATTACCACACTAACACGTGGGTATGTTACCCTAGTTACAACACTGAGGTTGTATAACCACACTAACACGTGGGTATGTTACCCTAGTTACAACACTGAGGTTGTATAACCACACTAACACGTGGGTATGTTACCCTAGTTACAACACTGAGATCATATCAATACACCAGCATGTGGGTATGTTACCCTAGTTACAACATTGAGGTTGTTTCACCACACCAGCATATGGGTATGTTACCCTAGTTACAACATTGAGGTTGTATCACTACACCAGCATGTAGGTATGTTACCCTAGTTACAACATTGAGGTTGTATAACCACACTAACACGTGGGTATGTTACCCTAGTTACAACATTGAGGTTGTATCACTACACCAGCATGTGGGTATGTTACCCTAGTTACAACACTGAGGTTGTATAACCACACTAACACGTGGGTATGTTACCCTAGTTACAACACTGAGATCATATCAATATACTAGCATATGGGTATGTTACCCTAGTTACAACATTGAGGTTGTTTCACCACACCAGCATATGGGTATGTTACCCTAGTTACAACATTGAGGTTGTATCACTACACCAGCATGTGGGTGTGTTACCCTAGTTACAACATTGAGGTTGTATTACCACACTAACACGTGGGTATGTTACCCTAGTTACAACATTGAGGTTGTATCACTACACCAGCATGTGGGTATGTTACCCTAGTTACAACACTGAGGTTGTATAACCACACTAACACGTGGGTATGTTACCCTAGTTACAACACTGAGATCATATCAATACACTAGCATATGGGTATGTTACCCTAGTTACAACATTGAGGTTGTTTCACCACACCGGCATATGGGTATGTTACCCTAGTTACAACATTGAGGTTGTATCACTACACCAGCATGTGGGTATGTTACCCTAGTTACAACATTGAGGTTGTATTACCACACTAACACGTGGGTATGTTACCCTAGTTACAACATTGAGGCTGTATTACCATACTAACACGTGGGTATGTTACCCTAGTTACAACATTGAGGTTGTATTACCACACTAACACGTGGGTATGTTACCCTAGTTACAACATTGAGGTTGTATCACCACACTAACACGTGGGTATGTTACCCTAGTTACAACACTGAGATCATATCAATACACCAGCATGTGGGTATGTTACCCTAGTTACAACATTGAGGTTGTTTCACCACACCAGCATATGGGTATGTTACCCTAGTTACAACATTGAGGTTGTATCACTACACCAGCATGTAGGTATGTTACCCTAGTTACAACATTGAGGTTGTATAACCACACTAACACGTGGGTATGTTACCCTAGTTACAACATTGAGGTTGTATCACTACACCAGCATGTGGGTATGTTACCCTAGTTACAACACTGAGGTTGTATAACCACACTAACACGTGGGTATGTTACCCTAGTTACAACACTGAGATCATATCAATATACTAGCATATGGGTATGTTACCCTAGTTACAACATTGAGGTTGTTTCACCACACCAGCATATGGGTATGTTACCCTAGTTACAACATTGAGGTTGTATCACTACACCAGCATGTGGGTGTGTTACCCTAGTTACAACATTGAGGTTGTATTACCACACTAACACGTGGGTATGTTACCCTAGTTACAACATTGAGGTTGTATCACTACACCAGCATGTGGGTATGTTACCCTAGTTACAACACTGAGGTTGTATAACCACACTAACACGTGGGTATGTTACCCTAGTTACAACACTGAGATCATATCAATACACTAGCATATGGGTATGTTACCCTAGTTACAACATTGAGGTTGTTTCACCACACCGGCATATGGGTATGTTACCCTAGTTACAACATTGAGGTTGTATCACTACACCAGCATGTGGGTATGTTACCCTAGTTACAACATTGAGGTTGTATTACCACACTAACACGTGGGTATGTTACCCTAGTTACAACATTGAGGCTGTATTACCATACTAACACGTGGGTATGTTACCCTAGTTACAACATTGAGGTTGTATTACCACACTAACACGTGGGTATGTTACCCTAGTTACAACATTGAGGTTGTATCACCACACTAACACGTGGGTATGTAACCCTAGTTAGAACACTGAGGTGATATCACTACACCAGCATGTGGGTATGTTACCCTAGTTACAACATTGAGGTGACATCACTACACAAGTATGTGATTATGTCAACATGTCACCGATATAAAGGTTATATAGAATTGACAAAAAAAATACCATATATAAGACTATCAAACAAGAATATATCCACCTGTTCCTAACGTGATGAACAACACGTCGACACCGGTAACTGCCTTTTTGATAGCGGCGGCATCGTATTTCTCGCACATGCTGTCGTTACAGCCAGATGCAGCCTGAACCACGTTCCCAAGCGTTCTCAGACCGTCGATTGTCCGCGACATGAACCGAGGGTCGGTGTTGGGGGCGTAGTTGCCGACGGTGTTGTTGCCTTCAAACGTCATGACGCCCACAACCTGGTGAAATACGGTACACAGTTAGTCATGACGCCCACAGCCTGGTGAAATACGGTACACAGTTAGTCATGACGCCCACAACCTGGTGAAATACGGTACACAGTTAGTCATGACGCCCACAACCTGGTGAAATACGGTACACAGTTAGTCATGACGCCCACAACCTTGTGAAGCAGGGTACACAGTTAGTCATGACGCCCACAACATGGTGAAGTATGATACACAGTTAGTCATGACGCCCGCAACATGGTGAAGTATGGTACACAGTTAGTCATGACGCCCACAACATGGTGAAGTATAATACACAGTTTGTCATGGTGAAGTATGGTACACAGTTAATCATGGTGAAGCAGGGTACACACTTAGTCATGGTGAAGGACGGTATACAGTTAGTCATGGTGAAGGCCGGTACACAGTTAGTCATGACGCCCACAACCAGGAGACACAAAAATGTGCTTGAAGAATCATAATCTTGTGTAATGAGTCCTAGTACATACTCCAATAGTGTCGAATTTCTGCTTGAGTGGAAGAAACCCGCCATCATTCTTCAGGAGGACAAATGTTCTTGTGGCAGCCCATACAGCGAGTTCCCTGTGAGCCGCGGACTCTACATACGAGAGGTCATATGTGGAGTACGGGTTCATGGAGGGGGGATCGAACTCTCCCAGTCTCATCCTGGTGTAGAACAGCTTTTTAACTCGCTCCCTCATTAGGTCCTCGGTCAGCTTCCCCTGCTTAACGGCATCCACTGAAAAAACACGCTACTATCTGAACAACACGCACGCTACTATCTTAACAACAAGCACGCTTCTATCTGAACAACACGCACCCTACTATCTGAACAACAAGCACGCTACTATCTGAACAACAAGCACGCTTCTATCTGAACAACACGCACGCTACTATCTGAACAACAAGCACGCTACTATCTGAACAACAAGCACGCTACTATCTGAACAACAAGCACTCTACTGTCTGGACAACACGTACTCTACTGTGTGGACAACAATAACTCCACCGTCTAAACATCAAGCACACTCTTTTGTGTTTGAGGGATGTCGTTACTGACACGTAGGTGGTTGCACATTGTGTTTGAGGGATGTCGTTACTGACACATAGGTGGTTGCACATGTGTTTGAGGGATGTCGTTACTGACACATAGGTGGTTGCACATGTGTTTGAGGGATGTAGTTACTGACACATAGGTGGTTGCACATGTGTTTGAGGGATGTCGTTACTGACACATAGGTGGTTGCACATGCGTGTGAGGGATGTCGTTACTGACACATAGGTGGTTGCACATTGTGTTTGAGGGATGTCGTTACTGACACATAGGTGGTTGCACATGCGTGTGAGGGATGTCGTTACTGACACATAGGTGGTTGCACATTGTGTTTGAGGGATGTCGTTACTGACACATAGGTGGTTGCACATGCGTGTGAGGGATGTCGTTACTGACACATAGGTGGTTGCACATTGTGTTTGAGGGATGTCGTTACTGACACATAGGTGGTTGCACATGTGTATGAGGGATGTCGTTACTGACACATAGGTGGTTGCACATTGCGTGTGAGGGATGTCGTTACTGACACATAGGTGGTTGCACATTGTGTTTGAGGGATGTCGTTACTGACACATAGGTGGTTGCACATGTGTATGAGGGATGTCGTTACTGACACATAGGTGGTTGCACATTGCGTGTGAGGGATGTCGTTACTGACACATAGGTGGTTGCACATGTGTTTGAGGGATGTAGTTACTGACACATAGGTGGTTGCACATGTGTTTGAGGGATGTCGTTACTGACACATAGGTGGTTGCACATTATGTTTTAGGGATGTCGTTACTGACACATAGGTGGTTGCACATTATGTTTGAGGGAAGTGGTTACTCACACATAGACAGATACACGGCCTCCGCTTTGCCTGCAAGTTCGAGGTTACATCCAGCATTGACGCAGGCTGCTACAGTATCTACGCTGTTGTTTAAGTAGTGGTGGGAGCCGATGATGTTTTCTATTGCACCCTGGTCGCTGACGACGTAGCCCTGAAAACCCCACTCGTCTCTAAGGATGTCCGTCAGCAGCCGCTTGTTGGCACACGCTGGTACACCATTGATGCTGGGAACAGGGGCATAGGGAATACAAGGAACACGAATAACATATATGTATAACAAATGTATATCAGGAACAGAGGAACAGATCATATCATTAACAGGTCAAGATGAACACGAGGAGCGGAGAAACTGAGAAATATAAGGAAAAGAGGCACAGAGCTTGGTATTTGCAGAACAATAGAGGACCAGAAGGAACCGAGGACCAGAGCTTGGTATTTGCAGAACAATAGAGGACCAGAAGGAACTGAGGAACAGAGCATGGTATTTGCAGAACAATAGAGGACCAGAAGGAACTGAGGACCAGAGCTTGGTATTTGCAGACTAATAGAGGACAAGAAGGAACTGAGGAACAGAGCATGGTATTTGCAGAACAATAGAGGACAAGAAGGAACTGAGGAACAGAGCATGGTATTTGCAGAACAATAGAGGACCAGAAGGAACTGAGGAACAGAGCATGGTATTTGCAGAACAATAGAGGACAAGAAGGAACTGAGGAACAGAGCTTGGTATTTGCAGAACAAAAGAGGACAAGAAGGAACTGAGGAACAGAGCATGGTATTTGCAGAACAATAGAGGACCAGAAGGAACCGAGGACCAGAGCTTGGTATTTGCAAAACAATAGGGGACCACAAGGAACAGAGGAACAGAGCATGGTATTTGCAGAACAATAGAGGACCAGAAAGAACTAAGGAACAGAGCTTGATATTTTCAGAACAATAGAGGTCAAGAAAGAACTAAGGAACAGAGCATGGTATTTGCAGAACAATAGAGGACAAGAAGGAACTGAGGAACAGAGCTTGGTATTTGCAGAACAATAGAGGACCAGAAGAAACAGAGGAACAGAGCATGGTATTTGCAGAACAATAGAGGACAAGAAGGAACTGAGGACCAGAGCTTGGTATTTGCAGAATGGTAGATGACTAGAAGGAACTGAGGACCAGTAGACACAGAGAAACGGAAAAGAAGTCTTAAAATGTTGCACATGATGTTGTAGGTCCCCGCCTTGACGCATACTCTGAAGGCACATACCTGTTGTTGCTACACATGATGTTGTAGGTCCCCGCCTTGACGCATGCTCTTAAGGCACATACCTGTTGTAGCTACACATGATGTTGTAGGTCCCCGCCTTGACGCATGCTCTGAAGGCACATACCTGTTGTAGCTACACATGATGTTGTAGGTCCCCGCCTTGACGCATGCTCTGAAGGCACATACCTGTTGTAGCTACACATGATGTTGTAGGTCCCCGCCTTGACGCATACTCTGACGGCACATACCTGTTGTAGCTACACATGATGTTGTAGGTCCCCGCCTTGACGCATGCTATGAAGGCACATACCTGTTGTAGCTGCACATGATGTTGTAGGTCCCCGCCTTGACGCATACTCTGAAGGCACATACCTGTTGTAGCTGCACATGATGTTGTAGGTCCCCGCCTTGACGCATGCTCTGAAGGCACATACCTGTTGTAGCTACACATGATGTTGTAGGTCCCCGCCTTGACGCATGCTATAATGGCACATACCTTTTGTAGCTACACATGATGTTGTAGGTCCCCGCCTTGACGCATACTCTGAAGGCACATACCTGTTGTAGCTACACATGATGTTGTAGGTCCCCGCCTTGACGCATGTTCTAAATGCGGGCAGGAATGTTGTTCGCCAGTCTCGCTCTGAAACCTTAGAATAGGCAATAGGAGGGCAGTTGAAGAAATTGTTAAATGTTCTCTTGATACGAATTGAAACAACCGACATACCAAGAAAGGTAGAAACCAAAGTTCACAATTCAGACACAGTGCGATCTAAATTTGGAAAAACATTCAGTGTATGACTGAGATCCCGTTGACAGAGATGCTAACACGGATTGTACAGGCAGATGCAGTCACAGGGTTTAAGTATAGATATTGGGGCTTGTAGACAGAGGCATCTTACTGGTTTACTGAAACAAGCACGTGGTTTACTGACACATGCACTTGGATTGCTAATATACAAGGGGTTTACTGACACAGGTACGTGGTTTACTTGTACAGACATATGAATGTACAGATAAAGGCACGTGGTTTACTGATTCAAATACGTTTGTTTACTGAAAAAGACACGTGGTTTTACGTGTTAAGCTTGTAGAGACACTTGGTATACTGACTCAGACACGTGGTTTACCGATGTATTTATTAAGACTCGTTGTTTTACTGACAAAGATACTTAGCGTAATGTTTCAAATACGTGGCTTACTGATAGAGACACGTGGTCTACTTACAACGGCATTGAAGGACATTCTGCTGACGGGTATGCTCTCCGGGCCGGCGTACGCATCGAAGTGTTTACACCCGGCGTTAGCTCGGACATAGCGGGGGTGGTTCCCCTGCAGTCCCCACACGAAGTGGGCGGCGTACTGACCAGTCAGGTGGGGGTCCTCTCCGTAGGTTTCCTGGCGACACAGAAATGATTACGATGTAACTCTCATGTATTTAGACACGAAGTGACATTCATATGTATTGAGCTGAGTAAAGTCGAAAAATATAGAAGAGAAGAGGCATTTTGTCTTGAATTGTTGCAATCTCACATAGCATCTAGCATAAGTGGCTGAGTGCCATCCATGACAATATGATGCATCGTGAATCAAAGTCGAAATGTTTATAACATGTCTTTATTCAACGTTCTTAAAGGAGATTTCATACCTCTCAACTGAGGGTACAGGTTGTAAAACAGGACAACGATGGCAAGCGAATACCTACACAGAACCCTGGACTGCCCTGGCTTGTATCTCCAACTCAGAACGAGCTCTTTGTTGTTGGAACATGGTTCAACTGGACTCCCTAAATAATATTGCTCTTCTTGGTGAGGTGAGGTGAGGTGAGGTGAGGTGAGGTGAGGTGAGGTGAGGTGAGGTGAGGTGAGGTGAGGTGAAATTGGGTTTAACGTCGCGTCCAAGATTATTGCCCTTATAATACGACGTGCATGCATATGTGCGTGTGTGTGTGTGCGTGCGTGCGTGCGTGCGTGCGGGCGTGCGGGCGTGCGGGCGTGTGTGTGCGCTTGCGCGTGCGTGTGTGTCTGTGTGGCTGCTTGTACTAGTCCGAACTGATGTCGGTTTACAGTGCTAGCCCACTGAGATATCACGCCGCAGTTTAACATGAATACCCCACTCAGACACGGTATACTGACTTCGAGCCGACAAGTCCTTGTTTTAGCCCCGTAATGCCGAGCGCCAGACAGGGTAACAACAAGAACCATCTTTTAAAGTCTTTTGGTATGACGCGGCCGGTGATCGAACCCCACCTTCCGCTCTCGGGGCGGACGCTCTACCACTAGACCACGGAGGAGGTCTTCTTGATGAGAGGTTATTGTGGAAACTGGTTGTTAGGACATGGACCAACTGGACTGTCTGAACAACATTGCTCTTTTTGATGAGAGGCTTTTGTGGACAGTGGTCATTGGATGTGCCATGTTTACTAATGGATCACAAAACAGATTCAGTTAACCCTAACCCTAGCCCTGATTCAGATATCTTCATTTATCATATAATGGGCAGGTTTCTCGGCAGGATAAAGCCAACGGATAAAATCGATATCCATTGGGGTCATATGCGGATAGAGATGCACATATCAAAGGTCAAGTAGGGATCAACAAACATGGCATCGCCCTTGTCATTCGGCAATCAATTAATCATCGGGAATCTGGATAAACTACAGAGATGATTGCTAACGTTATCAAAAGAACAGTCTAATATACTTTTGTATATTTTTGTAAGTTTTGGCAACTTTGGAGATATAATTTTTCGTCATAATTTTGCGAGGGCACTAGGCCTATCCAAGCGGGATCAGCAGCCATATCTGTGCTTATAAACCTCTGAGGCTTGAAACTTTTCCACAAATTAAAATAGTTGGATATAGCCGAAATATGTTTGAATTGTTACCTTGTTTCGTTTTGTCGCTGTGTGTACATCTGATTGCACTCTTAACGTTATGACAGGACAGTCCGACTGTCAACAACGTCTGAACGTGGCCGTGACGTCTCATAGACAAGGGTTAGAGTAGCTTCCCTTTGACAAAGGGCAGTTGTTCTAGCGGACAGACCAAGGCTCGCTAAATATAATGTTTATTCCTAATGCAGAATATCTACCACCCCTAACCACACTTGCGTGATAACCTCTATGTACACGTGTACAACTAAGGGGTTACTTGATTGATAACCTATTTGTCATGTCACACTACCTCGTTCCTGCCCCACCTGGGGTCGCGCATGATGTTGATGACGGGGCTGAAGCAGCTGATTCCTTTGTGGGTGCCGTACTGTTTGTTCTTCACGAAATCATTAAACTTTCCTCGAACCTCTTCGCTCGTCGCTTCTGCCACTTTGTACACAACATCGGGGCTGTAACATGAGGCAACATGTGAGTATTTACAAACGAGTGTGTCTCTGTCCTCGTAGGTGAACAAATACTTTTATGTAGATTGAGATTCTGTGAGTATTTGGCATGTCTAATTTCACCATCCATACCTGCATAGGGATATTAGCCTAGGTCATCGTGGTGTGACATATCCATCCGAAGCTGATACCTGTGAGATACAACACTTTTCCAGCGAATTGGAGTCATATAAGAGTCAAAGATAGCCAACATTGCAACATAAACCAACATAGTCTAGCCAAAAACAATTCCATCTACATAAGATTTAAAAAGCCGCTGTACATGAGACTTGTGCTACTTACTCCCAGGCGGCCGCCAGACCCAGAGACTGGGGAAAGGAGGTAGCGTTCCCCGCCTCCACGTCTCCCCTCAGACACTCCGTGTTCCAGGAATAGGGCCCTATACCAAGTCTGGGGATGGGCGGAGTGGGGCCATTGCCTGGGCTAGTGCCTCCTTTGGTCATCTGGTACATGATCTCCTCGATGGAGAGGCGGCCCACCAGGTCGTCCACACGCTCGTCCCAGGACAGACTCGTGTTCCTGAAGGGGAAGTCGCCGTGAGAGGGCAGCACAAACACCAGCACCACCAGGAGACGTAGGCCGGTCATGGTCAGACGATGGCTTAGAATGTCGTTGTTTCACAACAATGTCCACAGTTATATACGACCCACGTGAGAAAAGTGTGCTCAGCTGAAAACTAACAGTTGGGTGTTTCAAGGACAGTCGCTGGTCTGGAAACCGTCTTCTAAAGATAAGCACTGAACAGATTGCGAGATGACAAGCAAAAGAAGGCGAGTGTACAGTGCAGTGTGGTCTGTGAGAGGACAGCGTGACCCAAGTGTAATATTCTTGCTGTGCAGTGTGGTCTGTGAGAGGACAACGTGATCACATTGTAATATTCTGGCTGTGCAGTGTGGTCTGTGAGAGGACAGCATGGCCCCAGTGTAATATTCTTGCTGTGCAGTGTGGTCTGTGAGAGGACAGCATGGTCCCAGTGTAATATTCTGGCTGTGCAGTGTGGTCTGTGAGAGGACAGCGTGACCCCAGTGTAATATTCTGGCTGTGCAGTGTGGTCTGTGAGAGGACAGAATGGCCCCAGTGTAATATTCTGGCTGTGCAGTGTGGTCTGTGAGAGCACAGCATGACCCCAGTGTAATATTCTGGCTGTGCAGTGTGGTCTGTGAGAGGACAGCATGGCCCTAGTGTAATATTCTGGCTGTGCAGTGTGGTCTGTGAGAGGACAGCATGGCCCCAGTGTAATATTCTGGCTGTGCAGTGTGGTCTGTGAGAGGACAACGTGATCACATTGTAATATTCTGGCTGTGCAGTGTCGTCTGTGAGAGGACAACGTGATCACATTGTAATATTCTGGCTGTGCAGTGTGGTCTGTGAGAGGACAACGTGACCCCAGTGTAATATTCTGGCTGTGCAGTGTGGTCTGTGAGAGGACAGCATGACCCCAGTGTAATACTCTAGCTGTGCAGTGTGGTCTGTGAGAGGACAGCATGGCCCCAGTGTAATATTCTGGCTGTGCAGTATGGTCTGTGAGAGGACAGCGTGACTCCAGTGTAATATTCTGGCTGTGCAGTGTGGTCTGTGAGAGGACAGCATGGCCCCAGTGTAATATTCTGGCTGTGCAGTGTGGTCTGTGAGAGGACAGCATGGCCCCAGTGTAATATTCTGGCTGTGCGGTGTGGTCTGTGAGAGGACAGCATGGCCCCAGTGTAATATTCTGGCTGTGCAGTGTGGTCTGTGAGAGGACAACATGATCACATTGTAATATTCTGGCTGTGCAGTGTGGTCTTTGAGAGGACAACGTGATCACATTGTAATATTCTGGCTGTGCAGTGTGGTCTGTGAGAGGACAACGTGACCCCAGTGTAATATTCTGGCTGTGCAGTGTGGTCTGTGAGAGGACAGCATGACCCCAGTGTAATACTCTGGCTGTGCAGTGTGGTCTGTGAGAGGACAGCATGGCCCCAGTGTAATATTCTGGCTGTGCAGTATGGTCTGTGAGAGGACAGCGTGACTCCAGTGTAATATTCTGGCTGTGCAGTGTGGTCTGTGAGAGGAAAGCATGGCCCCAGTGTAATATTCTGGCTGTGCAGTGTGTTCTGTGAGAGGACAGCATGGCCCCAGTGTAATATTCTGGCTGTGCAGTGTGGTCTGTGAGAGGACAACGTGATCACATTGTAATATTCTGGCTGTGCAGTGTGGTCTGTGAGAGGACAACGTGACCACATTGTAATATTCTGACTGTCCAGTGTGGTCTGTGAGAGGACAGCGTGACCCCAGTGTAATATTCTGGCTGTGCAGTGTGGTCTCTGAGAGGAAAACGTGATCACATTGTAATATTCTGGCTGTGCAGTGTGGTCTGTGAGAGGACAACGCGATCACATTGTAATATTCTGGCTGTGCAGTGTGGTCTGTGAGAGGACAACGTGACCACATTGTAATATTCTGACTGTGCAGTGTGGTCTGTGAGAGGACAGCGTGACCCCAGTGTAATATTCTGGCTGTGCAGTGTGGTCTGTGAGAGGACAACGTGATCACATTGTAATATTCTGGCTGAGCAGTGTGGTCTGTGAGAGGACAACGTGATCACAGTGTAATATTCTGACTGTGCAGTGTGGTCTGTGAGAGGACAACGTGACCACATTGTAATATTCTGACTGTGCAGTGTGGTCTGTGAGAGGACAACGTGACCACATTGTAATATTCTGACTGTCCAGTGTGGTCTGTGAGAGGACAGCGTGACCCCAGTGTAATATTCTGGCTGTGCAGTGTGGTCTCTGAGAGGAAAACGTGATCACATTGTAATATTCTGGCTGTGCAGTGTGGTCTGTGAGAGGACAACGCGATCACATTGTAATATTCTGGCTGTGCAGTGTGGTCTGTGAGAGGACAACGTGACCACATTGTAATATTCTGACTGTGCAGTGTGGTCTGTGAGAGGACAGCGTGACCCCAGTGTAATATTCTGGCTGTGCAGTGTGGTCTGTGAGAGGACAACGTGATCACATTGTAATATTCTGGCTGAGCAGTGTGGTCTGTGAGAGGACAACGTGATCACAGTGTAATATTCTGACTGTGCAGTGTGGTCTGTGAGAGGACAACGTGACCACATTGTAATATTCTGACTGTGCAGTGTGGTCTGTGAGAGGACAACGTGATCACATTGTAATATTCTGGCTGTGCAGTGTGATCTGTGAGAGGACAACGTGATCACATTGTAATAATCTGGCTGTGCAGTGTGGTCTGTGAGAGGACAACGTGACCACATTGTAATATTCTGGCTGTGCAGTGTGATCTGTGAGAGGACAACGTGATCACATTGTAATAATCTGGCTGTGCAGTGTGGTCTGTGAGAGGACAACGTGACCACATTGTAATATTCTGACCGTGATGTTTGGTCTGGGCGTAAAACAATTTACAAACAAACAAGTTTCAGACATCTTGGCCTTCTGTAATTATACTGAAATGAACAAATCACTTTCCTGTTTCACATTCCTTGACCTCGTGGTTGGAGTGAACGAATTTTCATAATTTACTCAATCGCAGACAAATTTTCTGACACCATGATTTTGACTAGTTACACGAGTTGGTGGTCTGTTGTGGACGTTCTGTACTGATCTGGTAAAGTACCGTTGCAGTGGTTCTAATTCACAGAGCTCTTTAAATGATATATGTTCGACAGCAGTTAGAGCATAGAGACGCGTGACAAAACACTACGACGGCATATTGGAATACGCCGGAGAAAGTAGTTCCTCCAATAACTCTGGGAGAAACAATGATATATCTCGCTTAAGCGCATGCTATAGTGTGCCTCTCACTCACGTTCTGTGTGGTCATTAGAGAACTGGCTTGTATGTATTGTTCTACTGTAAGTGTAGTTCTGTATGACAAACGCCAGTGACAGTCGTATTGATGACTTACGCCAAGGGACGACTGGAGATCTGTGTACAGATAGCTGATGTTGTGTCACCTGCCAGCGATACCGAGGAACACGTTCACGCCCAATGATGAGCCGATGTGTGCTGGTATCCAGGTTAGTTATCAAACCATCAATGTAAATCAGAAACATCCATGCTGCTAAAACTCGGTTGTGCCCAACAACTTGTCGAACTTGGAGGACCTGTGGTTAATTTTCTACTTCAACGTGAAAGACCGAGTTTTCTGTAGTTGAGAAAAGTGATATTTACGTTGCAGTGAACATAACACTTAATAGCTATTCGTTTCGTTTCGCTTAGTGCCATTTTTGTTATTGACCAGCGTGTATTCTTTCGCTTTCAAAAGCGGTCTCGAAGTTTTCAAGAATATTTTTGGTTAAAGTTGATTTTGTATATTATCATATTGAAATGTATGATAAAGAATTTTCGTGACCCTAAATATTTGTTCATACATTTAAAAAAAAATATTTTTAAGGATTTTGCGAACACGAAACTACTTTTAAGTCGCAAATACAAGGGGTGGTGAACCGTCCCTGTGTTGGGGTCACCGCCGGGGGCTCGTAACAGTTCATGTATGTGGCCTAAGGAACACTGACAGACTGGGTAACACAGGTGACAACATGTATGTTGGATTAATTATCCGAGAAAAGATAGCCTATATCTGGGCGATGTCGAGTGTCGCGGTGCCTGCACGTACACAAAGATCTGAGGACATCTCTTTACGGGCGACGTCAGAACGACCTTTCATCCGACCAATCAGAGCGTGACACTCGGAATGTGTCTTCTAATCTTGCAACCAAAAACAATTTAACACGGGATATTGACTGGAGCTTTATGACTGAATCCATATATCTAGGCAATCTCTTAGTCATTCCAGAATGTTGTTTTGTTCAATTATCAAATTATTACTCGAGAATATGTCAACATATGTTTAAAATGGTAATGGCTAGTTTGAAACTAGTGCCGTAAGGCTGATGTCGTCTTCTCTACAGTCATTCCTTTGCTCGGTCAAAGTTCGCGAAAGGACGATCTGACGTGACCCGACATGACATGTCCTCAAATCTTTGCTTAGCGGTAGTTAGATCGAAGATCTGATTTGAATGCGATTCAATGTGAAAAGACTATAGTGTGGAGTAGGGGCGAAATGTCGGTCTGTTAAAATTTGGGATTTAATTGCGGCGTCTTATGGTACTTCTATTTTGACGGGAACCACATTGAATGTTACTGAAAAGATGGTTTTTTTGTTGACACTATAGATACATCTGTATGTTCCCTACCGGATCTGAGTAGGGGAACAGCCGGTCAGTTCCCCTAAGTCCCTATCTCATTAAATATATCCATAAGTGTCTCCCGACAAGAATCAGGCAACTAATAGTGACTATTGCAGTATCATGACCTTGACCAAGGTCGGCATTTAGGTCGTGGACTCAAAACACCTCATTATAATCTTATCTACCATGTTTGCACTCTTGCACCATGGTTTTCGAATATGTGGATTCGCAGAGGACTTTTCAATAGTTATATCAGCAACTTCGTTCAGCTTATCTGAAAACAGCTGAATAGGATCGGTAACATTCCTGAACATCAGTGCAGTACAGAATTCCTGAAATGAAGGTCAGACGGCCTTAGTAAAATTCCACCTTGAATGACTCGCTGCAATGGCCGCTTCTATACAGGCCATGAAACTAATAGATTTGAATATGTCAGTGACAAAATAGGTACCAGTAGCTGAATGTCAATATGATCTTGATC